AGGACTTCATCAGTCCAAGGAGCCACAACAAACTCAGTCCCACAAGCAGCACACTCACATAGTGGACCAACCAGTTTGCTGGTGATAAGATTTGTTTCTGGGGTCTGCCCTCTCCCCCGTCAACTCCTCTGAGGCCGCCATAGCCAAGATGGTTCAAAACATCAAAGTTCATGCAACACACAAAAAAAGAAACCATCCAGATGACCTGACTGAACTTTGTTGGATTTTCTACCTGGATTATTGAGCACGAACTTTGACGTTTTGAACCACTTTGGCTATGGCTGCCTCAGAGGAGTTGACGGGGGAAGAGGGTGGCCCCCAGAAACCATCTTTCCACCATCAAACTGGTTGATTCACTATGTGAGTGTGCTGCTTGTGGGACTGGGTTTGTTGTGGCTCCTCGTACTGATGAAGTCCTTTGGATGAAAGACAAAACGTCTCGGCAGCAAAGCAAAAGAAACCGTCCAGTTGATTTGATGTAGTTGAGTCTGTTTTTTCAATTCATGAAAATCATTCAAACCTTGTTACGGCATGTGAAAAGATTGGAAAAGTTAAATTAAAACAACCAAAACTATTTAGGTGAATAAATAACATGTCTTTGATTGTGCTGCTAACATTTCCTGCAGTCTATTAAAAACAAAGTTTCAACCATTAAAATAAAATGATCCAAATCCTTCAAGTGAAATTTTAACAGCTTACCTTTGTGACCACGGTTCCTAACGTTCTTGTATTGTACGTTTCTTCAGGCTGCTGCTGTCCTCTGCAAAAATGGACTTAGATCCAGGGATGAAGATGCTCAACTAGAGCCACGTTCCAAAAAAAGAAGAAAATACAGAACCAGCCATTAGTGGACTTTGAATACTTTTCCTGGAACGATCTTCCTGAAAAGCCCGAATCAGGTTTGAAGATGAACTCATTACAGTCTTCTGAAAACCGGCCTGGTGGTTCCAAGAACCCAAGATATGAGTCACATGGTTCAGTTTCTGCAGCAGCAGAAGAGCCCCACAAAGCCCAGCTCTACTTGACTGAACAGACAACGGTCTTCATGGTTTTTATATTCCTTCATGTTCTTACCTCTGATGCTCCGGTCCAACAAGCCTCAGCATCGCTTTATGAAACGGACTTATCCAAATTATTTCTTGGCAAGTTGACGTTTGTTTCTGAGGTCCTTGAAGTCTGTTCTGCTGGTATAAAACTGATCTGAGAGTTCAGTGGCAGTAAATGGGAGGAAGTGTCAGCAGATGCTCAGTTCAAACTCAATTCCTGTCCTGGAAAAATGTTGCCATTTGTGTGAACTTCAGTGAGATTTGTTCCTGGACCGGCATCTTTTGAACTTCTATCTCTCTTCAGATTTAAAGTGTCTGACATTTTTTTAAAGGTGCTTATTGACGTCTCATGAAGAGCAGTCCATTAAAAAAATCAATCAAAGGAACAAACCACATGCATTTGTTTACTATGGAACCAGCCAAAGTGATTGACAGTAGGTCAACAATGGTGACACCCTTGGAAGAAATGCTTGGCACAGAGAAGTCTGATTTCCGTATTTACGCTCAAACTGAACTTAAAACAGAGAAATATATAAATATATATATATATATATATATATAACTTTTATAAATAAAAGTAATAAATACTTCCTGCTTGCTCTCGATGAAGACAGACGCTTTTCCTCAAGCTCCTCCCTCCCCCTGCTTCTGCTCTTGTCCGGTGAATCTTTTTCAAAGCCTCTCTTTACATATCTTCCGAATTGTAAACTATGGATCTGGTCAGCTGGTCTCAACACAGTTGATAACATTTTCTCGATGAGAAGACAGGGTGAGGGAGAGCCCTCATGCTCTGAAGGGAAACTCGCAGCTGGATACACAATGGATTCCTGGGGGCAGTAGGAGATGGTGTCTGTCTGTATGTCCATTGAGGATGTAAAGACGCGTACATAATTGGATTTATGATAACAGCATTTCTGCTTTTTGGAGTCGGTGGGTCTCTGGCATATCGACAAATTCGGAAGACGTCGGCAGCGGTTCTGGCAATTGTGAGGCTGCCTGTCTTGTGTGAAGGAATGTGCCGCGCTTCAAGCGCTCAGACTCTGAAGGTTTGTGAGCTAAGCCGTAAGTTGGACGCGATTTCTAAAAAAAATCAAATCTCGCACTATGTCCTAGACAGGACACAGTGTGAAAATTGCAACAACAACAAAAAAAAAAGACCTCAGCACATAAAACAGCAACATACTGATGACATCAGAATACATTTATGCACGAGGAGGCCAACGAGGGCAGTGAGTTGTCCGTGGACACTACCAGAAAGTTCCATAGTCCTGATAAGAGACGGAGATAGTGTCTATCAGCCGGCTCAACTCTAACACAGGTCCGCCGATGTCCTCTAGATGGGAGCGTGTAGGGGGGGTTCAGAGCTTCTTGTCCACATAAACAACCAGGAGAGGTTTGAGATAGTTGGCCAATTCAAGGCCGAGCAGGGAAGCCAGATTCAGATAACACAATTTTTGGGGGTCAGGCAGACTCTGCTTGATTTTCACGTCTGCCTTGATAGTTCTGTTGGTACATCTCAGTGGCAATTCCAAACAGCCAAATTTTGTGGTCACACCGCCGGGTCGAGCTTGTAGCCTTCTCCAAAGTCGATTTCTTCCTGCCAGTGAGTTCCAGCAAGTGGCCTGCGATTCTCAGAAATCGTGTCCAGCTTACAGCTCAGCTCATCCAGTGTCTGAATCTGAGTGCTTACCACTCAGTACATTCCTTCATGCCAGGCAGCCTTACCAAGGCCAGAACAGCTGATGACATTTTCCACATTTGTCGATAAGCCAGGTGACCGCCAACTCCAAAAAGTAGAAATCATGTTTATCATAAATCCAAATTATTTACTCATCTTCTACATCCTCGACCAAGAATACTGTCGGACGATCTTCCATTGCCCCCAGGAATCCATTGTGTATCCAGCTGCAAGTGTCTCGTCCAGGCAAGAGGGCTCTCCTTTGCCTTGTCTTCTCGTGGAGAAAAGCACGGCCCGCCTGTCCCAAAACAAATGTTATCTGAATCTGGCTTCTCCGCCTGGCCTTGAATAGGCCAACTATCTTAAATTTCTCCTGGAGGTTATGTGAACAAGAAGCTCTACCGCGTCCCCCGCCCCTTCAAGAGGGCATCTGTGGATCTCGGCTGAGCCGGCTGATAGACATTGTGCCATCTCTTATCAGGTCTATGGGACTTTCTGGCAATGTCGACAGACAACGCATAGCCTTGTCAGCCTCCTCATGCATAAATGTATTATGTCGTTAGTATGTTGCTGTTCATGTGCGAGGTCCATTTTTGCAACTTTCACACTGTGCCCCAGCTAGGACATAGTGCGAGATAGTTTTTTTTTGCTTCCCCTCCCCTCACGTTTCTCTTTTCCTTATCCAAATTTGTCTGTTTGAAACAGGTCTCTCTTGTAAATGAGTCATTGAGGCTCAATGTGGACTAACCTGTATAAAGGTTGAATGAAAAAAACCCTTTGATTGCAAATAATGTACATTAATTTCAATTAACTTGGAAAATTATTGTAATTAACCCAAAATGTCAATGGTTTAGGGTACCCATTTATGTCTGATTACTTTGCATTAAGTAGCTTAAGTCAACACCTTCGGTTGTATTTGACTTGTCTACATCTGTTACAAGTGGTTTAGAAGTGCATGTTGACCTTTGTTTGATGCTCTGAGAATACAGTCAAACAGATGAGTGATGCTTTATATGATAAACTACAGGAAAAGTTTAATAAAGGACTGAAGAAATAGAATTTCCTGAGCCTTTAATTTTTACTCAGAATCTAGGGTAACCGACGTAGACGTATTAACTTAACCTGGTCAAGCAAAGGAGCAAAGATAGTAACCATGTCAATTAAGTGCATGTAATAAACTTGAGAAAAAATCCCAAAAGATTAGGCAAAAAAAAAAACCCATATATATATACTGCATGGATTGCAGCTGTATAGGAATCTGAATACATTTTTGATGACTGCATTTATAACTTATGTACCGACTTGAGTTTGATTTCAAAACAGAATAGTCAGGTTATAAATTATGGTCCCATTTATCCATCCATCCATCCAATGCTTGTTAGTCAGGTTTCAGGGGCAGCAGCTTGAGCAGGGAGGCCCAGACCTCTCTTCACAGCCACTTCTTCCAGCTCTTCTGGAAGGACTCCAGTGTGTTTCCAAGCCAGCTGACAGTATCTCTTGGGACTCACCCTGGGTTTCCTCCCAGTTAGACATGCCTGGAAAACCACCCTAGGGATGTGTCCAGGGGTCATCATACCTTTCAGCTGCCCCTGGAGTCCTACCAGCTAACTAAGGACAGATACGACTTCATCAGCTTGGCAGTCTTCCATGGAGAATGGTCGCCATGAGAGACGAAGACAATTTTGCGGCCACAGTTCAAGGCAGCCGCCTCCACAATGGACAGTATCCCACTTGGACTTAAAAGTCCTCTGACTTCGCTGGGATGCAGTTGACGACCTATTGAAGGCGTGAGTTGAAGATCTTTGACAGGTTCTTCTGCCACAGACTCAAACTACAGTCAGAACCTGTCCCCCTTTCATTGTTGGTCTGTGTGCTGTTGCATTTTAATTCTAGGGAAATCATAGTCGTCAGACTGATGTTGATAGATTTAAACAATTTTCTTCTACAGTAAGTTTGAAATAATCCACACATTATAACAAAAGGTTTCAATAAAATTTAAAACCTAAATCTTTATAACCATGAAGAGAAAATACAGTTAGGCTGGAGGAACCATTCAACTCCAACGTTGCTTTTGGCAAAAACTAAAATTTCTAGTTCCGTCATTACGAATAATTTCCAAAATACAATCAAATGAACAATACAGATAATACAGTCCCATGTAAAGTTGAGACATTTGAACAAAATACTCAACTAAGCAGCCACAGCATGACAACTTACTGGCAAATATAGATTTTAAGACAACACGACTGGTCAACGTGGCATTTCCTAAAACTCTCCTGAAAACAGATGTACGCAATCGGGTCTCAAAACCCAACATGTTGTTTAGAAAGCGTCACTGTGTGACACAAAGTGACATCTTTGGTTTACAAAATGTGTGTGTCCACTGGGTTGTGAAACAGCAGCAGCATCGAAGCAGGTCCTTGAAAATTGTTAACCCTTTCTTCATCCAAACAAGGTCTCTGCAAGAGAACAAAGCAATGCATGAATCTATTCTCAGGGCATTTTTCGTAAGACTTACAGACATGCTTGTTGCAAGAAATCAAGACTAAACTAACTCTGTAGGAGGTTTTAGACTAAAAGCAAACAATGTGAAACAAATTGAATGAATTAAGGATTAATCCTTAAATCAGGGGAGTCCAATATTGGCTCCCAGGCTTCTGCAGAACTTGAATAGGTGATTTAACCATTGAATTAGGTATCAAAGTTCATGCTCAATAATCCAGGTAAAAAAAAAAATCCAACAATTTAGGTCAGGTCCTCTGGACGGTTTCATTTTTGTTGAAATGTTTCATCCTTCATCCAAAGGACTTCATCAATAAACTCAGTCCCACAAGCAGCACACTCGCATAGTGGGCCAACCAGTTTGATGTGGATAAGATGGTTTCTGGAGTCCAACAAAGTCCATAACTTCGTTGGATTTTATACCTGGAGTATTGATCATGAACTTTGATGTTTTTAACCACTTTGGCCATGGCTGCCTCAGAGGAGTCGATGGGGGAGAGGGCAGACTCCAGAAACCATCTCATCGCCATCAAACTGGTTGGCCCATTATGTGAATGTGCTGCTTGTGGGACTGAGTTTGTTGTGGCTCCTCGGACTGAAGAAGTCCTTTGGATGAAGACGTTTAGGTGGTGGGTGGGGGTGGGTTCAATAAAAAAAGAAAACAGTCCAAAGGACCTGACTTAACTTTGTTGCATTGAATTAGGTGTGCTGGATAAGGAAAACCTCTGAAACATGCAGGATAGTGACCCTTGAGGACCAGGATTAGACACCCCTGCTTTAGATTACCGCAGATGTAACAAAACACTAAATCACTGCACATTCAGCACAAATGTTTATGTCACGTCTTCACCTCAACCCCCGACAGCTCCTGTGGAGCCAGAGTAAAAGGAAATGTATTGAAACTTCCTGAAAGTCCTCTCGGTGTCACAGGAGGGGATGTCTACTTAAAGATTTTTAGTGAGTCGGAGGAAGTAAAAGGCGTTTGCATCTGCATCGGGGACTTGCCTGGTTAAATAAAATCTATTCAGACTCACAGGTTTCTTCAAATTCTACCAAACTCTGGTGAAAAATCCCAAAGTTAACATGTCTGCATGGCTATATTTCACAAGTGAGTAAAAAAAAAAAAAAAAAAAGTTGTTTGTATTGCACAAAAACAAACATCAAAAGTGCCGGGCCAAAAAAAGAAACAAAAAAAGTGTGTAATAATCGGAACTGCAAAGATTATTAAAGCCACAAATATCAGCAGTTCAGTACCTCGAAGACAAGATTTCTGAATCTATATGCTTTTCCTAAATTATTAAAACTGAATGACAAAATGCAAATTAAATAAATTTAAAGTATAGTATATGTAAAATATGTATTATGAAACTCCGAAGCAGTTTTTCCGCCCTCAAGTTGATCTCTAATTATTTGTTCAGAGTGAAGTCGACTGTCTGCATTGTCACTTGTGCTAAAACGAAGACGGAGTTGACGGCTTTGTTGCACTGTTTGCTCAGAGGTCTGTTTGCTTATGTCTGAGCCAACATGAGAGAAAGAGGGAGACGAGGTACGTGCATTCAGCCATGCTTCATGACCAGAGCAGAGGTTCAGGGTGGGAGGTGAGGGATGTGTGGGGAGTGCGGGGGCAGGGATGTCTCGTCAAAGCGACTCCTGCTTCCAACTTAGTATAGGATAATCTAACGTAAACAAAAATGGGAAGTAGAGATCAACTCACGTGGTATTAAAGAGGACTCGAGGCGAGACGATCGTGTTCAGAGCAGAGGCGGTATTGGAGGCAGTGAAAGTGCACATTTTACTTTGGGGTTTGCGTTGCTCATCCAGGTTTTAGGCTTGGAGCCAACTGAATCTCCCTCTCTGGCGCGACACAAGACAGGAAGCTGACATGAAAGAATAGAAGGACCGACTACGAGTGACGTAGGAGCCAGCGCAGGAGCCGAGACAGTAGCCATCGAAGAGATCGGAAGTTATTGTTTCAACTTGCAGGCGTCTCTTCTGACAACAATCCCAAGATAAACTGTGACGCCTCAGAGGAGCAGTTATGGGATACCTCTATATACACTCCTGTGGCTGATAAACAATATAATAATATGACTAAACAGCTTATCCTGCAGATTGTAAACCAAACTCAACAAACCAGCTTGAACTGGCTCACATCAGGATTAGTTTACACGGTCAACGAGCTTGAAGGGCAACATGCTTCTATTGATAGCCAAAATGCCGAGTAGGACAGCAAACATGTGGGAAGTAAGGAGTTTCCCAGAATGCCCAAATACAAATAACTGGAGCACAGCTGAGCTGACGTTCAGATTTTTAGAAACAAAATCAGTCTAACTAAAGCAACCTTTCACAAATCGCTTCAAGATGGATATGACACGCCACATCGTCTCAGTGTAAAGAAACAAAGGTGTGAGGAGACACCTGAGGCTGAAGTGGACCAGCCAAGGCTGGGCCAGTGTCAGGGCTCAAAGGTGGGACATAGTGATGACAGATATGCGCACCCAGTTGGCCACGGGACTTACAAAGGGGAATGTCTAACATGTTTAGGGCAAAGTGCTGAACGTTAGCACTACGGAGTTCCACTTCAGTCTTCTTTGGTTCAGTGATGCGTCACCGTTTCTGAAAGCTCATGTCATTGCGGAACAAGGACAGCAGGTTCTGTTCTGGTTGGTGATGTGTGTCATTAATAAACATCTGGAAAACCAGAGCAAAGGCTGTCCTGGAACCAAAAAAATGACCATTAGCAACGCTGTTAGAGAACGTTAGTGTCTAATCTCAAGAAAAAACAATGCACCTCAAATAAAAATCACCTCTGCCTTGGCACAAACGCCTAGTTTTGTTTTAGATGCTTAGTTGGTGCTTAGATGGCTCATCAGGTAAATTTGTTGCACAAGTATGAAATCAAACCAATGAGTACGTGAGGTCGTCAGGACACAGGTACTGTACGAACACCACACCCCATCTTATACCAAGATGGTGTAGAGGTATGTCAGCTGACTTGGGACCAGAAAGTCGCGGTTCGACTCCCAGGCATTCCCAAGTCATGGTTTCTCTGAGCAAGACACCTAATCCCCAATTACTCCCGGGCACTTGCATAGCTGCCCACTGCTCCACTTGAGTGTATCTCAGATGCAATGGGTTAAGTGCAGACAACCAATTTCATCATAGTATGGGAACATACAATGACAACAACACATAGCACTTATATACACTTATATCGTGACTTGATGACCGGCTTCAGCCAGGGTACGGGTTCACCATCAACATTGCCATTAAGCTGCCGTTAACGCCAGAGCAGAGATTATTGCTTTTGAAGCGGAACCAAAACTGGAGAGTACAAACTGATGGTGTATAGTATTGCATCATGTTCAGCATTAATGAATGACCTCTTAGGGGGCAGCTGTGGTTGAGTGGTTAGAGCAGTCGTCCTGCAACGCAAGAGTTAGGGGTTCGATTCCATCAGCAGTCACATGCCGAAGTGCCCCTGGGCAAGATACTGAACCCCTCATTGCCTCCGATGTGTGTCCCATCCGTGTATGAATGTGATAAATCACTGATTAATCTTTGTATAGATCTAGTAGAGTGCTGTATGAATGGGTAAATGAGGGCACAGATTGTTGTAAAGCCCTTTGAGTATCTTGTTAAGATAGAAAGGCACTATATAAGTACAGTCCATTTACCTCTGTGTGCACATCTGGCACCGCCTCCTAGTACTGTCAGAAACTTTAGGGTGGGGCTTCAGATGGGGACTCTGATGCTTGTCTTACCCCTTCTGAGAGAGGACCCTGTTAGTTCATCAACAAGACATCACCACTCCAAGGCACATAAATCTATGGACTGCCTGCACGATGTTGAGGTCCTCCCATGCCGATCCTTCCCCAATCCAACATGTGGGATCAGTGCAGACAAACTCCCAACTCAGTACTGGATCTTCAGGGTCAGTTCCAGCAGCTGAGGACTGACCTGCTGCAGCCGTGGCATTTTTTCTGGCTGCTGCCTCCAACCTCACACCTTTTATCTAACGGACCTCTTGTAAACTCCACTTCACAATCTTTCCTCTCCTGATTGTCCTATCTGCCGTTTCCTTAACGTGTTGCCCCCACTCCCCCTCGATGCCCTGCATGGTTTGGAGAAGCTGATTTTACATTCCAACTTTATCTTTCACATTTGTTTCCACTGTGAGATATGGGTCTCTCTTTGGATTTATGCATAGAGGTGTACAATTTAAACTTTGGTTTGGATTCACGTTTTCAACAATTTACTCAGTCAGACAAAAACAGTTCTACTTTGTGTCTGTTGCATCTAAAGTTGACTGGATATAAGGTTTTTTTTTTAAGTTACCAGAAGTATCTGCAGCAGACAGAGGCCTCTTTCAAAGCAGATTTCTGCCATTTTAAATTCAGACCTCAAATTTATATGCATTTATGCAAACTTCACCTTTACACAATCAATTTTACATACGGGGCAGCACGGTGGCACAGTTGGTAGAGCTGCTGCCTCTCAGCGAGCAGGTCACCCCGGTTCAAATCCCAGCCAGGGGCCTTTTTTGGGTGGAGTTTGCATGTTCCCTCCGTGCATGTGTGGGTCTTCTCCAGGTACTCCGGTTTCCTCCCACAGACCAAAAACATGCATGTTAGTCCGATTGGCAACTCTAAATTGTCTCTAGGTGTGAATGAGAGTTAATGGTTGTCTCATTTGTCTCTGTGTCCCTGTGATGAACTGGAGTGTGTCCCCTGCCTCTCACACAGTGACTGCTGGATATGGGCACCAGTGACCCCCGCGACCCAAAAAGGAAAAAGCGGGTAAAAGATAATGAATGGAATTTTACATACAATTACATAAAACTTAATGCTGTAGCAGCTGAGAGTCCATCACATCACAACACATGTCAAGTGTGATGAACTGCAAATAACACTACTGTTAGAGTCTCACCAAAAAGTCTAACTTCCATATTTCCCCGTCAACATTAGGGGATCTGAATCTGAAACATGACAGGAACGCTCAGACGTTTGACTGATGTATTTTTCTGATATGTAAAGCTTTACCACAGGAAAAAAAACAACCCAAGTACTTCTTACTATGACAACCTATTAAAAAAAGACAAATGGACAAATGTCATTATCAGTTTGTTCATCTGTTTTTGGTAAATTAAAACTTTCTTAGAAAACCACAAGTCAACATCGTAACAAATTGTCTAGTTTTCTAAATTTCTCTCCGACTTGTTGACCGACACAGCTGCTTATTTACTGCATAGACATAAAGAAAGGAGGAAAAAGAACGTGTCATGGAACAAGACACTGCAGCATGAAATCTATCAGGTTTCCCATCTGGTCTCTTGTGTATTTCCTCTCACTACTCCAGACAAGCACATACAATGTCCCATGATGGTCCTATTCTTAGTAAAGTGCTTATTCTAGTGTGTTTGTTACAAATGGGTTATTTTAGGTTCCATTGTAGTTCGTCTCCCTCGTTATGCAGAATCTTCACATTTGTTTTCAACTTATTTTCACTAAATGAACTCTCGGGAGTTTAATTAACTGCTCTGTGCTGAATTAAACCTGATCTGTACAGAGTGTTTACTTCAGTCTTATTTACATTTAAGAGTCACACTGAGCAGAACAACAATAGCCAAAGATGTGCAGAAAGTAACTTGTAACTCGAAACATCCTGATAAAACAAAAGTTAACCGTCCAGAGGACCCGGCTGAACGTTGTTGGGTTTTTCTACCTGGATTACTGAGCATGAACTTTGATATTTTGAACCACTTTGACCGTGGCTGCCTTAAGAGTCACTAATCTGGGCGTGATAATGGACCCTTCCCTGAAACTTAATCATGTAAACATGATTGATAAATCATGTTTCTTCCAACTGAGGCGGCTGTCTAAACTGAAGCCCATATTGTCCAAAAGGAACCTGGAGACAGTAATACATGCATTCTTTACATCTAGGCTTGATTACTACAATTCACTCCTGTTTGGTATCAGTCAGACCTCCATTGCACGACTGCAACTTGTCCAGAATGCAGCAGCCCGACTTTTAACCAGTACAGGCAAAAGAGAGCACATTACACCAGTTTTGGCCTCACTGCACTGGTTACCGGTTCACTTTCGAATCCAGTTCAAAATACTCATTTATGTCTACAAATCACTGAACAGTCCTCCCCCCACCCCCATCTCTCTGATCTGCTACAACCGTATGTCCCACCATGCTCCCTGAGGTCAGCGGACCAGTTGCTCCTCACAGTTCCAGGAACTCGTCTTAAGCGCAGAGGTGACAGGGCCTTCTCTGTAGCAGGACCAATACTCTGGAACGAGTTGCCTCTGCTTGTCAGACAGGCCCCCTCCCTCTCGGTTTTCAAGTCCCGTTTAAAAATCCACTACTATTCGGTGGCTTTCAACACCTGATGATCTGTGTTTGGAACCTGTATGCTCCACACTGGTTAGTCATTATCTGCATCGTTTTTATTTCTATATTCTCCATCCATCCATTTTCTTTACCCGTTTATTCCATTTTGGGTCACGGGGGTCGCTGGTGCCCATGTCCAGCAATCACTGTGCGAGGGGCGGGGTACACCCTGGACGAGTCGCAAGTCCATCACAGGGACACACAGAGACAAACGAGACAAACAACCATTCACTCTCTCACTCACACCTAGGGACAATTTAGAGTTACCAATCAGCCTAACATGCATGTTTTTAGTCTGTGGAAGGAAACTGGAGCACCCGGAGAAAACCCACGCATGCACGGAGAGAACATGCAAACTCCACCCAGAAAGGCCCCTGGACCGGGGTTTGAACCAGGGACCTGCTCGCCGAGAGGCAGCAGCTCTACTAGTTGCGCCACTGTGCTGCCCTGTCTATATTTCTGATTTACTTCATTTTGTATTTTGCTTTGTGTTACCTGTTGTTCTGTCTGTACAGCACTTTGGTTGGCCTTGTTGCCGTTTTAAGTACTCTATAAAAAAATGGTATGGTAAACGAGTCGGCGGTGGAGAGGGTGGACTCCAGAAACCATCTTATCACCATCAAACTGGTTGGTCCACTATGTGAGTGTGCTGCTTGTGTGACTGAGTTTGTTGTGGCTCCTCGGACTGATGAAGTCCTTTGGATGAAAGATGAAACGTTCCAACAAAAAGAAACCATCCAGAGGACCTAACTTATCTTTGTTGGATCGTTACTCTCGAGTTAAATTTTTTGCTCAATATAAACAAACTCTTTCTTTGGGTTAAGTAACGCTTTCAGACGTTGTGATTGATGGCAGACATAAACACTGTGTCTGATGCACAAATTATTGATATGGACAACAATTACAATTTAGCTAATAAGACCTGAGGAAGTATTTATTAAGAATCTTGGTGTATTGGTATGCTCACCAGTCCATGTCTGTAAAATGGGGAAAATCTGTATAATCTTCTTTTCATGCGAGTAATGGTGTACGACAAGGCAGCATTTTGTCTCCTAGCTTTTTTAATGTATGGATGATTTATCTAAGGTGTTAAATCAATGTAGACTGGCTGTCGGGTTAGCAATAGAACCATCAACCAGCTAATGTATGCCGACGATCTTGTAATATTTTGTCCATATAGTGCGTGTCTGCAGCAACTGTTAAGGGTTTGCTGTCAGTATGGATTGGATTTAGATATCAAGCAAAAAAAAGAGTAACATCATGACTGTCAGGAGCAAAGAGGACACTAAATTATCTTTCCACGACTTCACTCTGTCTGGCAGCATCCTCCAAGTCAGTGATGAGGTGAAATACTTGGGACATTACATAACCACTGACCAGGCAGCGTTGTATGCAATATGTACAAGCTAATATGCTTCTTCAGAAGTTCTCTATGTGCTCAGTATCTGTAAAAAGTGCACTCTTTAAAGCATATTGTACTCCACTGTATACTGCCCACCTGTGGCAGCATCACAGAAAAAGCAGTATTCATAAATGGATGGAGTGTGGATGGAGCGATGGAGTAGTGTCAGTCAGATGTTTGTAAATGCCAACGTACCAACTTGTGCATCTGTGCCTCAAAACCTTATGTACAGATGTGTAGGCAAACAGACTCTAAATAGCATCACTTATATTCTGACCAACCCCGTACAAAGCTCTGTTAGGTTCTTTTCTAGTCTGTGGGATCACTGGCGCCTTAATTTATATGGCAATGAACGAACATTCTATTTTTATTGTGTCTTTTTCTTGTTATGTTTATTGCCTGTTTTTGTTTACTATGGACCATGTACATGTCTGAAATAAAGTTTCTGATTGATTAATATAAGTTCCCAGCACTTCATGAGAAATTGAAACGCTCAGAGTTTTCCCTGATTTTTCCTTGAGTAAATCCTGAAATTCCAGGAGATGTTCAGTCACATGGAATCATTCCAGGTCTTGTGATGGACTGGAGACCTGTCCAGGGTGTACCCCGCCTCTCGCACAGTGATGGCTTGACATGAGCACCAGTGACCCCCGCAACCCAAAAAGGAAGAAGTGGGTAAAAGATAATGGATGGATGGAACATCAGAAATTAAAAGCCACCGCAGCCAGTCAGTAAGGAAACATGTACTGTGTAGACACGTCAAAATCTCAAGAGATCTTTAAATCAGCAGACCAGTGCTCAGATTCGATGAGTTCTCCCCGTCTGGAAAATGTCAGTCATTTACCAGGTTTTCCCTGATTTCCAGAATCGCTGGAAACGCTGTATGAAGCGGGCAATAATCATTTTGGCGTTCGCTACAATCAGAAGTATCCGAGGAGGGATGTTTTCTTGACTGGAAAAATTGCAGCTGAACAGAACTCACCTCCGTTTGAAGTTGGAAAACGTCTTCAACTGACCGACAGTCGGCCCGTCCAATAAGAGTGAAGCAAAACGTGAAGCGGTCCGATTGTCCTGTCAGCCTCGTGTTTCTCCTCTGTCAACAAACACATATTTACACACAACTTAGTCACCAAGTTGCCCTGGAACTGCTCGTGTGTACATTCATGACAACTTGTGAAGTCCAGTCAAACATTATGTAGTCTGCGTTTGTTTATGACGAGCAGAACAACCCGGCTCTGGACGTCCTCGGTTCCTGCCTTCGGGCAGCGCGGAGCAGTCAGAGCCACAGCATTCACACAGAGCACTGTCTCCCTCTGTGGCACGCCACCTGAATGACAGAAAAACCTCCAAGTTTCAGCTCTAAAACAACTTTTAATGAACTACACCGACAGTGCTAATCGTGTAGTTAAACATAAAAATAAGAGCTGTGTTTAAATGAAAGTTGGGCTCAGTTGGGTACCCTAACCTGAATGTAGGAGAGTGGAAGAAGCAGGCTTTATTAAGGAGACTACGAGATGTTTGCTTCGGAGTGGCTCTGAGATGGCAGCTTATGAACATCTAGAAGACAAAAACAGCATTTTATACTGGAATTTTTTTTAAAAAGCAAACATGAAACATTAGAGATGACTCTGTACAGCAGCGGAGATCAACTACCTGCTCCTCAGAGGAGTGGTTGAAACGAAAAGCTCGGACGCTGAAGCACAGTCTGTTGTCTTGGTCCTGAGGCAGGAACCTGGATGAAGAACCTGGCAGAACGCTGTCTATGAGACAGCTAAAAGAAAGGTCACTTTAAAAGCACAGATGTCAAGATTACATGTTCTGAAAGACTCTGTATTTGAGTAAAATAGTCTTGTATTGAACAACTATAGATAAGTATATACGTTAGTTAATGACGGTACTTCATCTAGATACCTAACAGTCACTAATGGTGTGCCACAAGGCTCAGTTTTAGGACCCACTCTTTTTACAATTTATATAAATAATGAGTTTCAAAACATTCCTGACACACCCTTGCATCTCTATGCTGACGATACAGTTGTTTATTGCCGAGCTAAGAGCCACCAAGTTTTTCCAGCTTCTACACTTTGCATTTAACATCATTCAGTTAGATCCGTTACATCTGGTGCTAAATGCTGATAAAACCAAAGGGATGTTGTTCTCCAACGGAAAGTTGGTGCCAGCAGCTCTTCCTCCCATCTCATCCATGCATCGTGTTCCTATTGAGTTTGTAGATTCTTACAAACACTTGGGAATTTTAGTTGATGCATGTCGCTCTTTTAAACCACATACTGAAAACGTGATAAAAAAACTCAAATTAAAACTGCTTTTCTTTTTCAGAACTAGATCTCGATTATCTGAATGCCAGAAAACACCTTGTAGCTGCTACTTTCCTATCAGCCATTGACTATGGTGACATTATTTACATGAATGCTCCTGCCAGCTCCTTACAGGTAGATGTTGGATGCCGTCTACCACGGTGTGCTCAGATTCATAACTGGTTTTAACCACTGTACCCATCACTGCACTTTGTACTCACTGGTCATTTGGTCATCATTGTCTACACGTAGGCTCTCACACAGGTACATCTTTATCTATAAATCCCTCCTTGGTCTGAAACCTTCTTATAACTCCTCCCACATGTCATGCCATCAGTGCAGTTACAACATGCGCTCCTCAGGCCTTCATTACCTGCAGCGTCCCCTCAGCGCGGACTCAACTCGACAAAAAGGCCTTTTCCTACTCAGCTCCTACAACCTGGAACACCTTGCAACAAAAACTGAAACTGTCCACCTTAAATTCTTTAGGGGATTTTAAACATTTGATAAGGTCAATAGAAACATCAAAGCAAATATGTTATTGTTTTTAGCAGTTTACCTTGCTTTATATCAAATGGGACCTTGATTTTATGGTTTTAATAACACTACTTTTATTCTAAATGCATTATATTGTAGTTTATTGTTGTCCGTACACTATATGTTGTCTGTTTAAAAACAGGTTTCTCTTTTAAATGAGCCCTTGTGACTCGATGAGACTAACCTGTAGAAATAACGGTTGAATGAATGAACGAATGAATCAGCTTGTTTGACAGAGAAACTGACCCATGGTTGGTGATGAACTTGTAGCTCGGCAGTGAAAAAGGGTCCGGCTTCGCTGTAGCAACACAAGAATCCACATTTAGAGTCAGCGGCGGGTGCTTGGGAGCCTCCACTCTGGCCTCCAAAAACACAGCTTCCCCCTGCTGGTACACTGAGGAGGCGCGCCGGGACGAACAGCCCTCTGGAACAAAAACATTTTACTTCAAACTTAAAATATCCAGAGACAAGTGCTACGGTTACTCATTACTGCCACTTCCTCTGAGCCAGAATAGATTAGGATCATTTCACCTGCCATGACATGAAGGGAGAAGTGCAAAAGACCAAAGGCACCAATGGTGGACGTCATGGGAACCCAGGTTGGTGCCAATGGTTCTCCTTTAACCGTCTGCTTCCTGTTTAACATTATTAAGTGTCGTTGGCAGTTTTCCAGTCAAACTATATGTGTCATGGTACAACATGTACATAAAATACAAACAGCCTCACCTCTCATAATGGCACTCCACAGGTACGATGGTCGTCGCCCCTCGGACGATCGCACTCCCTGTAGAAGTACGAAACAGAGCTGGAAACAGGAACAGATGATTGGAATAAACTAGCCACTTGCCACGAACCTGAAAAACAAAAACAAAATATAAAAGATTGTAACTTTTTAGTCTGTTTAAAATCCAAGGTTTTCAGATCAGATTAGTGTCACGTTTTGAGTTCATGGGTGTGAAAAGTAATTTGAACCTGTAAAAATAAAATGAAAAGAAAGAAAAGCCTTTATAGACAACATCGGCAACAAGGACACTGGTCTGTAATTAGTGAACACACATTTCTCACCATTCTTATAAAGAGGAACTATCGTTGCTATTTTCATATTTTCTGGAAATTTTCCTGTTGAAAATTATAAATTACATATATATGTAAATGGTTCAATAACATAACTCATTATATCCTTTACAAACATCATGTCCATCCAGGCTTTTGATCTTTTATCTGCAAGATTTTTTACAATACTCAGTATTTCTTCTTTATCAATGTCACCGAGAAAAATGCTGTTGGCACAACCCATGACTATATGACAGTCATGGGTTGTGCCAACAATATACATCAATACATCTCTATACATCTCCATACATTATATAAATCTATCTATACATCTCCATATATTATATAAATCTATCTATACATCTCTATCTCTATATATCTCTATCTATACATTATCTCTATAAATCTCCATATATTATATAAATCTATTTATACATCTCTATCTCTATATATATCTATATCTATACATCTCCATATATTATATAAATCTATCTATACATCTCTATCTCTATATATCTCTATCTATACATTATCTCTATACATCTCCATACATTATTATACATCTATACATCTCCATATATTATATAAATCTATCTATACATCTCTATCTCTATATATCTCTATCTATACATTATCTCTATACATCTCCATAGATTATTATATAACTATCTATACATCTCTATCTCTTTACATCTCCATACATTATTATATAACTCTATCTATACATCTCCATATAATATTATGTAAATCTATCTCTATACATCTCTAT